ACAATACTTGTCAAATCGGTGTTATCCTTGGAACTGGCACAAATGCCTGCTACATGGAAAAGCTATCCAATTGCCCAAAATTCAAAAAATATGGATTTGACAAAGACAAATATCCAAAAGAAGTTAGTTTGATAATATAATTTGATAATTTAACTAGACTAATCATTTTATTAGATTTCAATTGAAAATAATTCCGACACTTATGTATTGCTTTCTGGTTTATAGATCAAAATACATTTAGATGATTATAAACATAGAATGGGGAGCCTTTGGTGATAATGGCTGCATAGATTTTCTTCGCACAGAATTTGACAGAGACGTCGATGGTGGATCTATCAATCCGGGTAAACATCTGTAAGTTAGCTCTTCTGATAGACTTGAATGTTCAAACTTATGAAGTAAAATAAGATTGAGAGTTTATTTTCCATTTATTTTATTAAAATATGACTACTATTTAGAAGTCATAAGGTATATTTGAAGATTTGAAAAGATGATTTCTGGGATGTACTTGGGAGAGATTGTGCGCCTTGTTCTTGTAAAACTTGCAAAGAAGAAAATGCTCTTCGATGGTGATTATGAAGCTATTTCAAAGCCAAATTGTTTTCCAACCAAATTTGTCTCCGATATTGAGGAGTTCAATTTTTTCCTTTTCAATATCATTTATGAATTGTCAAATGGTTTTTTATGTCATTCGAATCAAGCTTTCCAAAAAAGAAACGGTAAAAGTAAAACATAGGGATAATAAATATTAGCAAAAACTTGATTTCTCATATTGTTACTCTTAATTTCTTTAATTTCTTAGTAATATCTTAGTTATTTTTAAAAATGCTTTCTACAGTTATTTTATGACTAATTCAGACAAAAGGGTCTCGGCGATTTACGAAGAACACTTCAAATCCTTCAACAAATCGGAATTAATAAAATAAGTGATAGCGATTGCCTTCATGTTGCATACGTTTGCGAAGTGGTCAGCACTCGGTACTTTCATTTTTGGTTCTAGGAAGCCATCTTTCCATCCCTGTTTTATCTTTGGTTCTTTTCAGGAAAAAAATATAATCTTAAGTGGCATTTTATTAACATTTCTTTTAATTTTATTCTCTATTCAAAGATAATACCTCTTTAACGAATAAATTGGTAAGAAGTAAAACTAGAGATTATTGATAATTTGGTAAATGTTGATCAGTTAAATCAAATTTATGATAAATTAAATTGAGTTTTCATTACTAGTACATTAATTACTATTAACAGAGTAAGCATTTTTAGGGCTGCATATCTCACTGCAGCTGGCATATCATGTATTTTGACCCGTATGCAAAAGAAATTTGTAACAGTGGGAGTAGATGGATCGGTATATCGGTTTCACCCAAAATTCGACAAAATTCTTGATGCGAAAATCAATGACTTATTGCCAAAAAATCTTGATGTATGTCAAATTTTCTGCTCAATTTTGTTTTAATAACCTGAATTTATTTAATAAAGTTCCCAGTTCAATTTAGACTCCTTTTAGATAATAAATAGCGCCTTTCAAAATAATTAAGTCAAAGGGGCAACAGTGGTGAATATCTCTGTTATATGACCATTAAAGTCTACATTTTGTCAAAAATTTGACCGAATAAAGTTTTCCAGTACCAACTTATGCTGTCGGAAGATGGAAGCGGTCGTGGAGCAGCACTTGTCGCTGCTGTTGCTGATCGGATCAGGAAGGAACATGAATAAACCAACGGATAATTGCTGAAACAAAATACTGTCAATACAGTCACGGAGATTACTGATAACATTGATAGCATATTTTATAATATACGACTAATTTTTGACCTACCAATAAACTCTTACATTTTATCAATAAGATTGCGACCTCTTCATTGGTTGATGATTTCTTGCAACCAGCAAATTATTTCATACTTTTCTTTGATTAATTCGTTTCTTAGTCTACGAACATCGGTCACTTCATTTATTATATCTCTTCACAATACCTCACACACAGGACAATTCAAATTCATCTCCTTCGATGAATTTACATCATGTACAAATGAACAAATATTAATGTGAATTAATGTTTGAAAAAAAAAAAAAGAACAATTTAAATTAACAACGAATGTTAACAGTATATTATTATTTGAGCGTAACAGTGATTGCTCACTAAAATAAATCTTTAATCTCAGCTGTTTTTCTCATTTCCTTTATTTCCTTTGCCTTCAAATTTATAATTTTATGTGACAAAAAAATGTAATGAATTCAAAAAAAAAAAAAGGAAAAAGAAACATGATGAGACTCATTAAAATTATTAAGGTAGAGCATAAAGTGAAATGGATTAATGAAATAAGAAATGAAGAAATTGGGATGAAAATCCTTAATCACCAAGAAATGCTTTCATGTAGATATGTCAATTTGCAAATTTTTTTACAAACTTGTAAAAAAATATCCATTTCATCTACACTTCATCAGATATATTTTACAATTTAAGATATATAAGCAATGAGAAAAGTGAAGAGAGGAACTAAACAGTAAGAGAAAATATTCAGTAACAATCGTCCAACTTTACTTTGGCTTAGTCTAGTTATGTGAAGCAACTGTTAGCAATTAACACTTTTACTCCTATTGTAATTAATTGCAAGAAAGACAAGGAATACACTTACAAGATAATATTAACAAAACATTTACTTTTCTGCATGAAATTCACTTTCGGCTATGCAAATTTTCATTGTTTTTTATCATGCAAAGCTATCGTATTCTCCAACCAATGGTTGGTTCATTTATACATAATAGAATTTGCAAGACGTTTAGTGCTACTGTGCTTCTGATAAGCAGTTATTTTAAGGTTCCGATGTTTTACTCAAAGATATTTAAAGCATCGAGTGGAATAAGTATCATTTTATCTGTGTGACTTATAAAATCAATAACATAATTTTCTATGGAACGAAACAAATTTTATCATGAAGTATTTTCAGCAGTAAGAAATTTATGCAACTGGAAGCTATTTCACTTATTTTGATAATTTATTTCATTAAATTAGTAAGTTTTTACTCGTTTATTACAATAAGTCTGTGAAATAATTAAAAATGCATTTAAGAAACTTCCATTAACAGTTATTGAAATTATACAATTCTTGATGTTTTATATTTAGGTTGCTTATGTTTTCTTCGATTAAAAAATCCAGGAAAAAATAATAATTTGGGAATGTTTTTAAATTTGACTCGCATATTCCTATATGAGAATATATTCATATTTCAGTAGAAATTTCTGAGTTTTTGCAAAAACCCAGTGCTATTTTCAATCAGTCTAGTGATTATTTTTTAAGCCATTATTATTGTTGAACCACCAAATTTCAGCATTAAAATCAGTTTTAATTAATAATAAACTATGCAAATCTATGCAAATTATGTGAAAACCTTTTAGCATTGTGTCCTGTGTCAGAGAGATATCAAGCCATCTGATCTGAGTACTTCGTATGATAGCCAAAGAATTCGACGATTAAAGCGTGAACTTGCAAACAATATTGTAGAAGGTCCACAAGGTAAGAAAGGACCACGGGGTCCACCGGGTCCCACAGGTCCTCCAGGACTGCAAGGAGAAAGAGGGCCACCCGGTGAACAAGGTCCACCTGGTCCACCAGGCCCTCCTGGTCCAAAGCGTAAAGATAGAAGGAACTTTGGTAAGTTTTTCCTACATGTTTTGAGTGATTTTTTTTCTTTAGATTTCTTCTGAGAAAGTCTACAAGAAATAATTCCCAGTTGATTGTTAGATCTTCAACTAACCCTTCGAGATATTTGACAATTTCTAAAATTTACAGAACTCAAACTAGAACTAATTAGTCGAAGATATTCTTTTAAGAAAAACCGGTATTAGTGGGAATAGCAGTGGGTGCACTATTTGCGTGTTCACTTGCGCTGGTATTCTTTCTTCTGTCTGCAACCAGAGTGATACTGGGAAGTTCCAACGACGCTGAGGAAGAGTAATCTAAGTGATAATGGAGAAATCCAACGATGGCAAGAATGATGCCGGATTGATATTACTATACTCATACAGAAATCGGTTAAAATAATGAATCTAATTTATTTTATGCATAAAAGTTATTAACTACACCATAGAAGTTCATTTGAAGTAAAATATTTAAGTGAAATTGTTGATTAAAGAAGCTTTGACAATGATAAAAACAAATAATACTCCTTGATAAACTGAAAGAAACATCTCACAAGAAAGATAAGAGTTCACTATCAATGAAAAACTAAATGGTAGATAATGATTATCATGAGACGATCTACTTTTTCATCTCGAAGTGTTAGTGGTCTTTGAAAGCTTTATGGTGAGCTCATCTAACTTTCTCAGCGTAATTACTTGAATACGTCATGTAACTTTTCATAATAGCTAGGTGTAGGTGAAGTCGAGTATAATCCGATTATTTTGTCATCAAGTTCATCATAAATAATGAAAATTTCCTAAATTTACTTGAAAGTCCAAAGTCTGCTTAAACCACGAAAAATGTAGTTTAAATGAAAAAATTCTATTCAGATGATTTGATTTTTTTACTGATGGCGCTGAAACAGTTAAATTAAAATAATATAGAAAGCAATTATTACTCAAATTTCAGAAAGAGAGCAAAGAGAGGAATGGAAGAAAGGATTCAATTCTTTGTGCTAAAAAATAAAATTATGCAATATGAATTCAGCAATTTTAATACACACACACACACATACACACATAGACACACCACCAGAACAACAACGATGTATGCATCGAATGCCATCACATGAAAACGTCTTTCAAAATATCTTAAGCTGCTTGTCACTTTTCAAATATTTCACGAGGAACAGTTAATCATTGTGAACATTTATATTACTATTAAAATCGAAGTATATAGATAATTTTATGTTGGCTCAAAATCAAAACCATATCACTGAAGCTGCATTTGAATATTTTAATCTTAGCATAACTTGAAAATCTTTAATTACATCATCGTTTCTTCAAAAATATAAATACAAATTAGAAAATTATGCACTGAATCAGATGAGTCCACTTTCATTCTCCAAGGTGACAACGTTTAAATTTCCAATAGTTTTCTTTTTCAATTCTATATATATACTTCCATCACCCATTGCATTATCATCGATACCTGGCAACGTAGATTTACCATTGTTCGGTTTTGACCTAAAACTTTGATTACAGTTGTCCTCATTCTCAAAAAAAAAAAGAAAAAGCTAATGAAAATGATTAGAACTGATAGGATGAACAGATTATAATGATCGCTAGTTCCACATTTCTCCATCTTTGTTCAGTTTTTTACTTACTAAAAGGATCAAATCGAGATTGCAATGCTACTCTGCAATAAATAAAACAAAAAGTAATGGAACTTACACGGGGAATACAATAGAGAATGTTCTCGTTTTCTTGAAAATACAATAAATTATAATAAATACAGTAAACAGAAATAGAATAGTGCCAGCGATGATGAGGTATTGTTTCAATTCCTCATATTCCATTAACGGTGATCCTCTCCTCCAACAATCTCTTTGTTTGACCCTCTCAATGCTTTCCTACTGTTCACTCAACAATTTTCCAAAATTGACAAATGCATGTCAAAAAGGAATTGAGGCTACTAAAATTCTTGTTGGATTTTTTATAAATGAAGGTCAGAACTAAAAAGGTTGATTTACAAGGCACAGAGATTAAGGAACAAATTAATTATTCACGGGATTAAAAAAGAAGTTTGTTTTATATCCGTGAAGTAAAGAAGAGAGATAATGCGATTTCATTCATTTAAATTGAGTGAAATTCCAAGCAATTCGATGAACAGCACAACAGCTTCAATTGCAAACTATTCGACTATGACTCACTTCTAACCTGGATGAATAGCTGAACTGAACTAGAAAGATTTTCCGATTGCTTAGAAAAATATTCTAGCAGAACGATCTGCACTGCGTGAGAGATATTTACATAGAGAAAAACTGATGTGAAGTTATCAGAACAGTAGGAATCTACAACAAAATGAAATTAATGCGTCATGTCGCAGACATCTTGCAACAATTATCGATGGAAGCAAACCATTGATGCATTTCTATAAATCGGGAAAATTCGTTTGTGTAAAATAATATTTTATCTTTCTTTGCAGCCAAGAAAAAGCCAAGAAAAACGGCAGGCTAAGTGATCGATTTTAAGTGTACTTTTAGAAGAAATTTCTCTTTTTCCAAATAATAAAAAATAGCAATATAATAATAACAGTGATGCCCAGAAGTGTTTGAATTCGAGGAGAAAGAAATAGTTATTAAAATATTGCAAATGCCCATTCTCAGAAAATCCGACTAACATAAGGTAAGAAGCCGAAACAGATATTTAAAAATTGAAATAAGTTGGTAAATTGCTATTCTGTCTGATGGTAATTAATTGCTAATTAGCGAGAAATCCCTTACCTTACATAACTATCATTCAGATGATCATTGCTTTTATAGTATCAAAACAGTCGCATTTCAGGTTTGACATTTTTAAAATCACATTAGCTTTGAAGTGAGACATTTGGTTGTAAAAACCTATCAAAATTTATGTTGAACAATGAATGATACAGAAGGAAAGGATAGAAAATGATTAAGAAAAACTGATATTTATTACGAAAATCGAAAGTGCATAATACATACAACAATGAAATTTGACTATTTAAGAGTAATTGATCTGGTCAAATTTGAAGAAATCAAACTATTTTCGGAATTTTTGAAATTCATTTATCAATACTATTAACTATTACTACATTCCAGATGAACAAGTTCTCTCAGCATTATGGTATATGTTTTCATAACTTATTAAAAAAACAGTATCACAGAAAAGGCTCAGACTTATCAAAAATTATCAAATTAAAAAAAATCAAAAAATCAAAAAAAAAATTATCAAAAAAAAAAAAAAAAAAATCAGACTTATCAAATTATCAATTGTCTTTCTCACCTCATTGTATCGGCGACATATTAGATATGGTCTCATTCGTTTATATCATGTCACGTCATAGCATTTATTGCTATTTCTTGGAGGAATGCTAAGTAAATAAGAAATGAACTTTTGACTACAACAAATATGGAATGGAAAGCACACTGATTCAGATCTTCAGAAAGGGAAAAAATTGCAACCAACAATGTTAACACCAAAAATGATGAGTTTTTTCCTGATGAATTTGATTAGCTTTAGAACTGGATTTTTCTCCAACCTTAAGGAGTAGAAAAAAATTCCAGAAATTGCAACCAACAATGTTAACACCAAAAATGATGAGTTTTTTCCTGATGAATTTGATTAGCTTTAGAACTGGATTTTCTCCAACCTTAAGGAGTAGAAAAAATTCCAGAAATTGCAACCAACAATGTTAACACCAAAAATGATGAGTTTTTCCTGATGAATTTGATTAGCTTTAGAACTGGATTTTTCTCCAACCTTAAGGAGTAGAAAAAAATTCCAGAAATTGCAACCAACAATGTTAACACCAAAAATGATGAGTTTTTTCCTGATGAATTTGATTAGCTTTAGAACTGGATTTTTCTCCAACCTTAAGGAGTAGAAAAAAATTCCAGAAATTGCAACCAACAATGTTAACACCAAAAATGATGAGTTTTTTCCTGATGAATTTGATTAGCTTTAGAACTGGATTTTTCTCCAACCTTAAGGAGTAGAAAAAAATTCCAGAAATTGCAACCAACAATGTTAACACCAAAAATGATGAGTTTTTTCCTGATGAATTTGATTAGCTTTAGAACTGGATTTTTCTCCAACCTTAAGGAGTAGAAAAAAATTCCAGAAATTGCAACCAACAATGTTAACACCAAAAATGATGAGTTTTTTCCTGATGAATTTGATTAGCTTTAGAACTGGATTTTTCTCCAACCTTAAGGAGTAGAAAAAAATTCCAGAAATTGCAACCAACAATGTTAACACCAAAAATGATGAGTTTTTTCCTGATGAATTTGATTAGCTTTAGAATTGGATTTTTCTCCAACCTTAAGGAGTAGAAAAAAATTCCAGATTAAAAATTTTAAGTATCGAATAAAAGTAAAAAGCCAAACACAATGCTAAAATGTGTTTTTGTGCGACTTTACGCACTACCCTGTTTCGTTTGAATCAACTATTCATTCGCTTTTCAAGAATGGAAATCTCTGACCTTTATCGGCTTCTAACCATCTGCTAATGGATTGAGGGTCAGAAGCTGATGAAGGTCAAACTTTTCTCAGCTTCCGTAATGTTCCATGATGCGCCAATCTTATCTGACAATAATACAAATTATCTTCGCTAAAGATTCGCTAAAACTCTCAAACTTATTATAAGGAAATCTGGAAAGGCCGGTTTGTCTTAATTTCATACCTTGAAATTACTTATAAATAGTCTTTTCGTTTTTTTCTGATCAGAAATTATTCATTAGTCTTTTTCAGATTTTATTACTATTCTATCAGGAAAATATCACTGCAGAATCAAAAGAGACTGCTAATAACATCAGAGATATATAATAAATAATATTAACAATTAAAAATGTTAAAAGAAAAAGTAATAAGAGAGAAATTAGTGCAATGAAATGTGGACCATTCCTTGTAGAGGATAACGATGAATGAATGAGTACAGCGATCACTACCAGTGTACCTAGAAAAGCAGATCTAGGTTATCGCTGCGATATCAGTCAACGTTAACGATGTTCCAGGGATATTGCATCAACAAGAATAACCAACCCATCATCCACGTATCACAAGGTATCGCTATATTTCTCGGCAAATATGTTCTTATAAATTACTTTAAATCATCAATGCCAGCATTGCAACATATATGCATGATGTCTGTAATCAATAATAATAATTCTGATAAACCCATTCTCCTTTTTTAACTCACTCACATTCTTCTAAGTCGGAACTTCAAAGACAATGAATCACATTTTTGAAAAGATCTCAAAAAAAAAAAAACACGTATAAATATAAACTCCCTGGATATAAGTACTGAAATTAGTGGCTACAACTTCTTTTTCGCTTGCAATCTCCACTTATCTTATACTTCTTAATTGATACAGCTGCATTTCACTCAAATGTAAGATTAATTCTAGAAAATATGTAACGAATGAATAATTCACTAATTAATAAGCAAATAGTTTTTTCCAATAATAAAACGCGACCCACAACGAAATCAATTTTGGGAAATGGTTCAATTATATCATAAAGTATAGAGAAGAAAGAAGCCAATCAACCAAACGGATGTTTGTATTCGGCGTGGAAATACAAATAAACATTTTAAGCAGACCAGTGGGATATTTTAATTAAAGCATTGAAGGGCATTTTGTAATAAAGGAACCCTTGCTGTATCTGAAAGGTGGAAGCATTTCTTATAAGCCACAGTACTGATTCATATCGATTCGACTGATCGACAATCAAACGTTGAAAGCATTCATTACTGCATTTAATTTCCTCAGTGCATTCCCCATTACGCACTTTTCTTTATTTTTTAATCAGTAATAATTAATAATTGATAACTAATAATTGATAATAGCGATGGTAATATATTAAAATAAAATAATAACGATAATAATAATAATTTATTATGATAATAAATTACAATAATAATAATAATTTATTATAATAATAAATTACAATAATAATAATAATTTATTATTATTATTATTATTATCGCAATTTTTATTATTATTATTACCATAAATTTAACATATAAATTTAGTTAGTAATAATAATGGTTATTAGTTTAAATAATCCCACTTAATTATTATAATTAGTCCAAAAATAAAGAAAATAAAGAAAAAAAAAATTATTAATATGTTTGAAAATATACGAAATCAATTTTAAGCACGCCACGATTTAAGTACTTTAAGTAGATGTAAGCATTTTCCGATATATGTATTAGGTAAGCAATTCTTTTTTTATATTTTTGTTATATATTTAGTAAATGGATCCCATCTTTTGCCCTTCTGTTTACATTCATAAGCGTATCAAACGAAACTCACATCTATTGTTATGTTATGGTAGAAATAATCAATTTGTTCAATGAATTTATTTTGAAATTTTAACACAAGAAAGACTTTTCATAAAAGTCTTAAGCATATGCAACAGTGCAGCACAACCGCAAACTTCATAAAGAATTTAATTACCTGGTCTGAGATGACAAGGCAGCACTTACATGTGAAAATGATTTTGCAGTTCACTACAGAAGACAACCATTACCATCGATATTATTTAATGTTTATGATAAATCGTTTACTGAAGAGACAAAGACATTCAGTTTTACAAACAAAAAGATAGACACCAAATATGAAAGGCACCGCAGTATTAATTCATTGATAGACAGACTCCAAACATAGAATTTGATAATCGGAAATTTAGCCGAATAATAATTTGGATTTGCTTTGAAAACACTAGAAAAATGTTCCTCTATAGTGAGTAACTTTCTAAAAAAATTGCGGACTTTTCTTCAGAACATTTTACTTGGGAAACAATCTAATTCCCAGCTTTATCCACAAAAATTA